TACCATCAGTGAGAGTGTGTAATTACCTCCTAAACGGATTCTAGCTGTTCCATCCTGGTCGCTCCATATTGGGGGATGAGGTATGTATCTTCCAGTACGTTGACATTTGAAATTCCCCACGTCTATTCTGTCCCTATTCGTAACTCCCGCTCCACTTGTGTGTTTAGTGCGTGTGTATGAACTGGCGTTTGTTTGTCCTTACCACTTCATTCATTTGACCTTGAGGTCATCCAGCCATTTGTGGTCAACTTTATGCACGTGTGACTGTATCACGTGGAAGCCTGTTTGCTCATTCGGTCGGTACCATTTGTCGTGGACGAGCATCTACTGTCAAGGTTTACTGTGCATTGATGTCCTACATTAATAGTGTCGTATGGAAGCTCAGTCGACCTTGCTTTACCTTCCCGGAGGTTCTGGTATTGCGCGTCACTCGAAGATACCGTTTGTCTGTTAAACTTGTTCATAAGGCAGAATTCATATACTTGTATATTAATGAATGTGTAATAATATACACAAGTAAAAATAATCCATCAACATCTCTTTGAATAGTGTGTTTCGTAGTCAGGAACAAAACATGAGGCATCCCTATTGCAGCATATTTAGTTGGGAAATTCGGCTAACGAGGTATTCGGCTTCCATCCAGGTAAGTCTTCCGTTAACACCAAGTGAATTTGAAAATAAGTGTATTTTACCACTTGCGTACAGTTTGGTGTGCAAGCCAACGATGAGGTTGGAGTAACCTCAAGGATGATTTCGCGAACAGAAAAAAAGAAACCGATAGCAGAAGCACAGTATGTTAGGACAAGAAGTTAGTCGTTCACGTCCTGGACTATCTGTTCTTTCTAGCATCCACTGGACAACTGGATAGCCGCAGAGAGTACATTGTTTCCTCCAAATTTGTTTGAGTTTAATCTGTAGCTTGTTGCTCTAAGCATTGTATGGCACAACCACTGATCAGCTATGTTCCATTTCACACCTTAGCAACCCACTGACGAGATCACCTCGATTGGTGATGAAACGATTACAACAAATTGTTCAGCTGAGTGAGCAAAACAACGGCCAGTCATCTAAAGGCTACACCGAATCGGTGTTATTTGTGTTCAAGAGTAGATCCGTAGCGCAATGTTTCTGGCTAAAATGATGGCACAGTTGTCCGCTCCTTTTACCAAGTATCGTTTGGGCAGAGCAGGCACTTGATAAAGTACCATCAGGAGCAGGGGATTTCTCAAGCCACTAACAGATGGAAGATCAGGTTTGCCAATCAGTAGACTATACTATATCACAGCATCAGTGTTCATAATTAGATGCTCCTTGCTTTTTAACAAAAGTAGCGGTTTTAAAAACGCGAAGTAGTCTGGTCTTCTTCTCAGGGATGTGAGGGAGAAGCGCTAAAGGAGGCTCACCGTTAACCGAGATGCGAAAGAGTTTGACTGTTTTGGGAAAACTGACGGGAAGTGGGAATTCCGCCCAATAAGCCATTGATCAGGTCAGAGCAGTCAAACTGTTAGCGAGTGGTCAGTTTGTCTGTCTAACTAATGGTTTGCCTCCATGGAAGAAATAGCTAATTACCAAGCCACAGAAGATGAATTTAACCTAACATTTATGGTATAGTTTTGGCTCAACCCTGGAAGTCTGTTGTACACGAGGCTTGTTCCACTCAATCGATTCATCTAAAGACCTCCTGTTGGTGCTTCAGAATCCAAAAACGTTTTATCCACAGGAAAATATCAATGTGCTATTTTGAACTATTTGGTAGGCGTTGTCCTAGATTTTTCTCTTCATCGAGTGGGCCCTGAGAGAAATGAGTAGACTGGAGAACCAACTGCATGCGGCGAAAACCGAATGAGTTAATTATGGAGAACAGGAGGTAAAAGCCTTGGAGTGACCTCTATAGAGCGCTCCCCCCAGCTGTAACCTAGCGTAACTCTGTAACTCAGAGGAGGAAGACAGGCGTCCGTCCCTGTGGTGTTGTGATAATTGGTCCATTGTACGGCCATCTAACGCACGAATCATTTAATATCTACAAGTAAGATAACAATAGAATCTCAGGCAGCTACACGCCTCATGTATGGATCGAGTGAATCTCACAGCATCTCAGACCTTCCAGCCATGAAGATTGAGAGATGGGCGCGTGGGAGGGTGCCTTGTGAAGAACGCCCGTTCGTGGACAGGTCAGCTACGAAGAAGTCGATAAAAATTGGTGTAAAAAAAGTCAAATGTATGATNGAAGAACGCCCGTTCGTGGACAGGTCAGCTACGAAGAAGTCGATAAAAATTGGTGTAAAAAAGTCACTTGAATGTACGATGGAATTATTCAAAGCCAGACGACCGTGATCACTGTCTAGGAATCAGGAAGAATCGTTGCGAACAACCATCACTTCTGTAGGAATTCCAGTGTGTGTATGTAGTGAGGATATATTTGAAGTTTCAGCCGGAATCTCACCCTTCAACTGGTGCAAGTCCTTGACGAAATGCCAAGCTCTGTATAGCTGTTTCATTCTTACTAGGTGTCATCCGCAACGCGCACCTAATAAATCCTCATTGGGGTTCAGAATCGAACTGTTTTAGCTAGTAGCTACACTTTCCGGAGGCGAATGTCACGCACTTAGAAAATAGGGTGATTTGTGGTGAACCACTGCTAATCGGCTCCCCAAGAGTGAAGCTTACGCTGCTTGTAGGATTTGTCTTAGCTAGGCAGATTACTCATACTTTGTTGGTAGTCAGAATTTCGAACGGCTGAACGTGCTTCCAGGGGTGTACCACGTCTGACTCCTCATCGCCAAGTTTGGTGTTGATTACGGTAGAGTCGCACTTCTTCGTTCGAACACCATCCGTAGTGTGAACGCAGTTCACACGTCATACGCTTTTGGAATCGTCACGGGCGAAAACAGAAGAAAAAACCGTTACGGCACCGCCAAATGTCGGCGACGCGTCAGGCACGTAGCGGCCCGCTTGTTAAAAGACGTGACCATCCATAGCCTGGCAACTAACAATCGATTATACCGCACACACTCTCCCGTGCTCTATGCGTTAGTTTCTATGATGGACATACCACCATCTTTCTAGACCAAATCAATGTTAAAAACGCCAAAACAGTTCCGGCCGCTCCGCCCCCTCCCTTTGCAGTCATCGCACCGCTTTAGAACACCGAATCACCGTTTCCGTGGCGTGTAATGAGGGCTAAATAAATCACCTCAGAATTTACCTGTGTCCATCGATAAATCGAAATGCGAAACAATTTGTGTCGGTGACAAACGGAATGAGAAAGTGATGTGAGTAACATGATTCTTATGGCGTCTGCATTGCAGGTGTTTCTTTGCTAAAAAAAACAATTTCTACACTGCTTAGCTATTTTACTTGATGTCAAAATAAACAACACCAACCATGGCCAGCCACAAAAGTCCATAGAAATCATCACTGTCTATTGCTGCCGGTCACAACGCTGAAAATTTCACAACTGAAGCAAACAAGGCCTTCGGACAACTAATTCGAAACAATTAGCCACAAAAATCTTTTTGTTCAGTAAAGAAGTATTCAGTTGACGTGATCCTTCATCGATTTCTCGTTGAACTTATTGACGCTCAACAAAGCACGTGGTTATCCGATGCTCACATTATTTTCTGGAGAAATCGACCATGCGAGGGGTCTTCTCATAAGAAGTGGCCTCTCATTTAAAGGTATCCATGGTCTGGCCAGATGGCAATAACTTGCACTTTTGTGTAGGTTTAAAGCACATATTTTCGACGCCATTTGTTTTCTCTCATCTATAAAACGATTCGCACTGAATATCTAAAGATATCACAAAACCTTTGATGAATTTAGCGAAATACACTCATTTGCAAACCAATTCGGTTCTGTGAGAGACTCAACTGGAACCCAGCTGAATCTCTCGTTTGTGATGTTTCCAGGCAACTGAATGTGCTGCACCAGCCCGCCCCATGTTTCAGTCGCTACGATATTCGGGATATCGCGATACATGTATATTCGCAAAGCACTGCGCATAAAGTAGCTAAAAATTCTTCGACAGCAGACGACCGGTTTCGCCCTTCTTGGGGCTCATCAGGTAGGCGCAGTCTCCGAGTTTCCGTCAACCTTATGTTCTACTTGAAACCAAATTGCGAAATACACTCGTTTGCAAACAAATTCGGTTCTGCGAGGGACCCACTTGGAACTCAGCTAATGTCTGTCCAATCAGCTGTTTGGATTCGGTTCATAAATCACACGCTTAAGTCACTGGAAATGAGATGATTCCAAATTTGTTTGCAAATGAGTGTATTTCACTAATTTCACGCAATTCGGTTTCAAGTAGAACATAAGGTTGACAGAAACTCGGAGACTGCGCCTATCTGATGAACCCCTTTGGTGATTTCTTTGAAACGAACTCAATAAGATATATGATGAATCGACCATTTCTGGTACGCACCATTTCAGGTTATACTCTTCATTTGAAACTACCAGAAAAGAGAACATATGTCCACATGAGGATGGAGTTTGAACCGACTTCCGGTTATGAACCTTGCTTGCTCCGTTCATCAAGGACTGCTTCATTCCCATTTCACCATCATGTATGACCATGATGTGTCACTCGACTTTCAAAAATAATCGTTTTCGAATCTTTACCGACCGGATTATGACAGGTTGAGTTATGCTGAAAGGACCAATATGCATATAAATAAAACGAACGAGTGGTAGACTACAATAAAGTGATGCGCAGCTTGAGTGAAATAGGCTCAGGAGACAAAAGCTCAGTCCGTGGGAAACATATACATGAATGCTAGGTTACTGCGGCCGCTCCATCACCTCGTTATTCACTGTCAGTATTGGTTTGAAGTGACAAAGAGGGCTAGGGCACCTGCAACAGTGGCTCCTTGGCTCACAGACCCGAGGATCAGACATTTGAGGTCACCGCCAGAGTGGTCAACAAAGAAGATACAAGAACAACTTTGAAACGGCAACCAGATACTCTGGATAGGGTCCATAGTTTCGATACCTTCACTCACATGCACAGACGTATAGCCGCAAATCACTCGGGATCCCTCTAGAGTCAACCAATTTGGGATGTGCTTCGTTCGTTTCCATGAATAGTAGTCTTTCAGCAAGACGATGCGCTGAAGACGACGCGCCTGAAGCAATAAATTACCACTGAGCAGTTTATTATGAACCCTTGAATACTCTAGTTCAAAAGTTTTCAGTATTTTCCTGTATTCTCGTACAGTGGGGGTTCTGACAAGTAAACTGTCGATAAAAATTTCTTCGCTGTCTTTCTCAACTAGAGTCAGTTTTCCACAGAGAGTGCTATCAAGCAAGTATTTTGTTTTGCACAACTTTCAGAAGATTCATTTACAACAGATTACGTCTCATTTTCAGACACCTCAGCTGAGTCGGTCTTGGGGTCAGACGTACTAAGAGGATACAGAACAAAACTGCGATTTTGCCTTCTGCCTGATGTTAAGACCGTTCAGCCTCGTATACACATGTACGCGTCCACAATAAACGCGTTGCAGTTTATGGGATAACTAAGGATTACGGTATATCGAAAACGTACAATCTTTCAAGCATCATCCATGAAACAAATGGTACCACACGTCGAAAACTTCGATGGTCTTCCTATTACGTTTATTTCCTGGAGAGACCATTCTCTAGAGCGAAGCCCTTCTGCCCGACTGCTTGAGACCTACCGAACGCTAAATGGGCTGTCCCCTAGCCCAAACAACTGGAGAAATCTCTTCACACAAAACCCATATCCATCAGTATAGCTTCGGTTGTTTGGGCCTCCCATACTTCTTCCATAATGAACTGTAAACAACCATACGTTCTTCGTACGTTTATGAAAACCGCTTTTATCGTCCTCAGGGATAATCACAGTGATATAGCATGGAAAAACTCGTCAGGGAGCAACTACACTATACATATCGGATGAACTCTCCCCAAGGGCTCAAATACGAGCCTGAACTTGTGGTGTGGATGTGAGTTCCCACTCTAGCAGGAGACATCTCCAATAGTTAGAGTAAGTCCGCACAGTTGGAATGAATGCCAGATAGGTGATAAACTAATGTGTCGCAGCACCAGGTGATATTCTCATTTAAGGCTGTGTGCACTAGCGACCTCCAGAGGCTGCAGTCATCTCTGGAGAGGACAACCACCAAACTATCCCACTGTATGACTTACATGAAAGAGTGGTGTTTGCAAAAAAACACTTTACTAATCGTACCTTATTTTAGCCCATTTCAGTGTCTTCTTTCGGTGTTTGGAGACGTTTCTGCATTAGTCCTGTCATCTGGAATTTTCCACAATTCCAAAGCTTACTGTGTAAAGCAATAAAACAATGAACTTATCGGGCATGACTCATTGACCTACCCCTCACCCAACCCCCTTCCTTTGACTTCTATTTCTCTAAAGTGTAGCCCCGATCTTAACCTTTTCCACGTGATTTCTGCTACCATATAAATTTGTGATGTATTAGCCAAGATGAACAATCACAGAAAACAAGCTTTGTTCGCTAC